CTTTAGCTGAGATTCCTGCATTGCAGGGGGTTGGGCTAGATGACCCTCAGGGTCCCTTCCAACTCTATAATTCTATGATTCTCTGGAAGACAACTTAATGTAAAAACAGACAATATATAGCAACAGCATAGCTGAGCCAAGCAAGGGGCACCACTTCAGCTTGGGTGAATACAACTCGATGATTCTATAAAACAAATGGTTAATTTAGATTGCTATTGTCATATTACATTCTGAGATGATTTTGCTGTTGTGCTGCTTTTTTGGGCAGCTTTTGGTCTTGAGGCAGCATAATAGTACTATTACTAAGCTCAAGATCAAGGCATATTATCTTTAGAGATGCTCAGCAGCTCAGGATCAAAGGGCATTATATAAGATTCCTATTAGGCTAGGATCAACACCTTAGGCAACTGCAATATTGTTATAAGAATGTACGGTAACTTTTAAAGTGGTAGCAGCAGGGAGGACAAGGCCACAGCCCTGAAACAATCAAAGGAAGGCCATCCTGTTTAAATGGATTACAGCAAATTTGGCTTTTACAAAAAGTAGTCAAGGCTAAGAACACAAGCCGTAAAAAGCATCAAGTCCTTTTCCAGAGGAGGAGTTGGGGGAGGACATTTGGCCGAATGAGCTGAAGCGTATGGGGAAAAGGCAAGCAAGGAAAGGATCGCAAAGAACAAAAGATTGCACACCAGGTTCAGATAAATAATAGAACACATCTGGCAACGATGTACGGAACAAGATTTTGGGTCAAAAGGAACAGCAAAGGGTTTCCCTGGATAGTGCGAAGGGTTCAGTTTCGAAAAAGGGAGTCAGAGACATGGCAAGAGATTTTTTTTTTTTTTTTTGAGGGGAGATTAAATGAATATTTTGAGGGCAAAGTGAGGGAAATGGACTTGTTTCAGGGAGAAAAACGCATAAGAGAAGGTAATAGAGAAATTAGATTTCCAGAGCCAGTAGGAAGAGAGGATTCCAATATAAATACCCCAAAGTCATTGCCAGGACTAGGGGGCCCTAGTAGGCATACACTTGCAGTACTGGCTTTTTTTGAGATGTTAGAAAGAGTTATTTACTCAACTAGTAAGTGATCAAGGCACCTGGTTTCTACAGTGGTACCTCAGGTTACAGACGCTTCAGGTTACAGACTCCGCTAACCCAGAAATAGTACCTCAGGTTAAGAACTTTGCTTCAGGATGAGAACAGAAATCGTGTGGCAGCAGCAAGAGGCCCCATTAGCTAAAGTGGTACCTCAGGTTAAGAACAGTTTCAGGTTAAGAATGGACCTCCAGAACGAATTAAGTTCTTAACCTGAGGTACCACTGTATTTCGCCTACTCTATTAATACCATCCTCCAAGATCAAGCACTCGAGTTCATCTATCTTGGCTTGGAAGCTTCTAGCACCAGCATGTATATATTTCTATACAATCTCCCTCTTTAAGTGTCTTTGGCCCTTACTCTTCGGCTTCTCAGACTCGCTCTCCCGTGCCCCTTCACTCGCCTAGTTCTGCACACCCTCATTTAAATCTTAATCATCCTTATCATCTTTATCACTGTGTAGACCCTTCTCAGCTCCTTTCAACTTCTCCCTCTCAATCAGCTGAAAAGCTGTTCTACAAGTGGTTCTGCCACCTTCCTTGTTTTCACCGCCAACTGTCTGGTTCCATCCCGATTCTAGTAGAGCCCGTCCCTTGTGTACAATCCCACCATTCCCCCAATGCCTAACAAATCCTACCCCTCCTCCTTCTGACACCATCGTCCCATTGGCATATTGAGACCACAAAGCCTCTCCTCTCTAGTTGGCCCTGTGCATGGAACCAGAAGCATTTCTGAGAAAACTATCTATCTTGGAGGGTCTGTCTTTCAGAATCCAACCTAGCTACCTGAATTTTGCTTCCAGAACTCCATGACTACATTTCCCCCTGTTACTCATGCCGACTGACTATCTACCAGAGCTATCTACCAGGCTATCGAGGGGATGTCCAACATCTGCAACTTTTGCACCAGGCAAGCAATTCACCCTGGGCTCTGTATGCCCACCACACACCAAACTATCTATGTTCTTAATGATCAAATTGCCCACTGTGATGATCCCTCCACTCCAGAGAAATATCTTTGTCCTGAGAAGACAGCTGTCTGTCCCCTAAGGAATCGACCCCTTCTAAGGAAATGTTTCCCTTTTCCTCATAGAGATGTTCTCCTTCCCCGAGACCTAAATTTGCCCTGAGAGTAGGGGAGCTATCATCATGGGAGTGTGACACCCTTATAATGTCCCTGAAGGCCTTTTTCTATCATGCTCACTAACTCTCTTAGCTTTTCAAGGTCTGTCACCTTAGCCTCAAGGGAACAAACTTACGCTGGAAGAGCCAGGAGCTCTTTGCACTACGAGTGCACCTATGACTTATGTCCAACCGGGTGACATGCTATCGACAGTGCAAAACACAAAGAAGTCCTCGTACTCATGCTAGCATTTTATCTGCATAACTGTGTTTTGTCATATAATGACTTTATTAAAAGTTTGGTTTTTCTGGCCTCCTCACTTTGCTGCTGAACTCTCATGTCTGCTTAACTCGCCTTGACATTTTGTCATCTAGGGCTTCCTGTAGCTTGTGAAGCAGGCTCTCCTTGCTGGATTGCTCTAAGTTAATATCCTTGGCTAATTCCTCCTAGCTACTGCAGCAGCTAGGTTTTCCCAGTAGTGATAAGAGCTGGACCATAAAGAAGGCTGATCGCCGAAGAATTGATGCTTTTGAATTATGGTGCTGGAGGAGACTCTTGAGAGTCCCATGGACTGCAAGAAGATCAAACCTATCCATTCTGAAGGAAATCAGCCCTGAGTGCTCACTGGAAGGACAGATCCTGAAGCTGAGACTCCAATACTTTGGCCACCTCATGAGAAGAGAAGACTCCCTGGAAAAGACCCTGATGTTGGGAAAGATGGAGGGCACAAGGAGAAGGGGATGACAGAGGACGAGATGGTTGGACAGTGTTCTCGAAGCTACCAACATGAGCTTGACCAAACTGCGGGAGGCGGTGGAAGACAGGAGTGCCTGGCGTGCTCTGGTCCATGGGGTCCCGAAGAGTCGGACACGACTAAACGACTAAACAACAACAACAAGTTGGGAGTGGCCAATGGCTGGTGAGTCAACTGGTAGTTGACTCCTTGATGGATGGACCTTCTTTCTGTCCTGAGAGGGAGTCCTACTTACAAAATTTTAATACTACTACTACTACTACAAGAAACAAACTAGCTTTTACTTTACTCTTTTCAAAATTGTATTTTATTTACTGGCAACAATGCATGCTTAAAGCTGACAGTTACCCTGTAGCAGGAGTGCCAGCTTGGCCCTGTGACTGTGGGTGCCTGGCGCTGTGGGTGTGATGCAGTGGGCATGGCCCTGGCACCAAAATTTGTCGGTGCCCAAGCCCTTCGTGGGTGCTCAGGAACCCAGGGCCCCAGGGGGTTAGCACCTATGCCCTGTAGTTTTAAGTGGTACTTTGGCGGCTTTGATAGACTAGACTAGATTCCACATTGACAGCTGTCACTTTCAGCTATGTCTCTTTTGAACACGTGACAACAGTCTAACCTTTATAACCTCGGTAAAAGGAGCTTGTGGGGTGGGTTTGTTTTTAAAGAAGGCTATGTCTACCCTTTCTAAAATGAAAGTGACTCTCTCACTAGCGAGATCTGTGTTGTATAGAACAATATACAAGAGTTTACTGTGGCCCCTACAAGCTTCCTTGCTGAGGTAGCACTGAACACTAAGTTTCTACAGACTTCCTATCCTTAAAATATACCTCCTAAGTTCTATGAAAATTCTGCCCCTGGCCCACCTTACTGTATCCTTATTAGTCTGAGCTGCTTTAATTAAATAATGAAATGGTTGTTACTAACCCTCTCCTCCCATGTCTGCCTAACTTGTCTCGACACTTTTCCAGCTGGGGCTGAGATGCCCCTTCAGCTGTATGCTAACTATGTCCTTAAATATTAACCTATGTATTGCTGAATGAGCTTTCATGGACTTTGAGTTGCCACAAGGCTCTTATTCTGTGTTTGTTGTAACAGACAAACATGCCCACCGCTCTAGAATTTGTAAATATGGAAGGCACCGAATTTAATACCTGTTCAGGCATTTTCCCCATCACACAAGGGGGCAAAGAGAGGGGGCAGGAGAGAGAGAGTGCACACCTCTTGGCTTGGCCCCCTTTGTCATTTTCCTGACCGCCCTGTGGCCCCAAAATCTAAATTTTCTGAAATAACTTTTATCTGCATTTAGCTAGAACATCCCTCACATGACAAGTGCCGTGTGCCTCTTCGCTTTAACTGCTTCGTAGATTTCACCCTTAACTAGAAATATCTTAAGTACTAAAAAAAAAATTTTTTTAAGCTTCTAAAGAAATGCAGCTCTTAAGAACAGAGCATTTTTATTCTCATAAATGCTGCCAATTTTAAAGGCAATAAAAAGAGTCTAATAGCCTGGCGCCCCAGGGATCAGGGCTGTGTCTATATTGGTAACTTAAAATTTTTGCTTACAGTGTGAACCTCCTGAGATATCCATCCGATTTGCATTCCAGGGGGGAAAGAGTCCAATAATGCTGCTTGTGGCAATGATGATATCTTTATTAACCTGCCAGGGGTGAAAGCGCAGGGTGGCGAAAATCTGCTGATGGAAACAAAATGATTTAGGTTAGACAAGACCGAGGGCGGATTGCAAAGAAACTCCAGGAAGACTTAGCCAGACTAAGTAATTGGGCAGCAGGACACCAACATAATTTTCTCTGTGGGTAGATGGAGTGTGTGGAGCTTTTTATATTACTGGTGAACACTGATGAGAACTGAATTAAGTGGAGAGATCACGGCAGCATTGCAGGCAGCTCATTGAGGATGTTGACTCAAGCTACAGCAAAGGAACCTGCCTTAGACCAAGCCAGACCAATAGTCCATCTAGCTCAAAATTTCCCGCACTGACTGGCCATGACTCTCCAGGGTTTCAGGAGCCCTACTTGGAGATGCCAGGGATTGAACTGGGAATCTTCTGTATGCAAAACAGATGTTCTACCACTGAGCTATGGGCCTCCCTTGAAAGTTTCCGTTCCAATTTAAGATGATTCTGAATACTTAGTGCAAAGGGAAGTATGTGGCTGGAAAATCATATATTCCAACTGTTCTTGTTTATGAGGTGCAATTCTGATGTTCTGGTACCCATGCCTGGCAAATCACTCTGTGTGTGTGTGTGTGTGTGTGTGTGTGTATCCTTATCCTTATTATTTAGTTCATGAGTTTATTTTGGATCCTACTGTGTAAAGGGACCCCTGACTGTTAGGTCCAGTCGTGACCGACTCTGGGGTTACGGCACTCATCTCGCTTTATTGGCCGAGGGAGCCGGCGTACAGCTTCCGGATCATGTGGCAAGCATGACTAAGCCACTTCTGACGAACCAGAGCAGCGCACGGAAACACCGTTTACCTTCCCGCCGGAGCGGTACCTATTTATCTACTTGCACTTGACGTGCTTTCGAACTGCTAGGTTGGCAGGAGCAGGGACCGAGCAACGGGAGCTCACCCCGTCGCAGGGATTCAAACCACTGACCTTCTGATCAGCAAGTCCTAGGCTCTGTGATTTAACCCACAGTGCCACCTGCGTGGGATATATATATCCTTATTATTTAGTTCATGAGTTTATTTTGGATCCTACTGTGTACAAGGACATAATTTGAATGCAAGGAGAGCCCTAATGGTTGAGACCCAAGGCTTACCAAGTGCAACATCCTCTTTTCCACAGTGGTCAACCAGATGCTGGTTGGAAGTCCACAAGCAAGACAGGTCAATAGTCCTCTCCTGCTGCTGTATTCAGACTCACAATATTTCTGATCCTGGAGGTAGCATGTAGGCATCAAGGCTAGTAGTCATTTATAGCCTTAACGTCTGTGAATTCATCATTTTAAAACCCATCCGAGTTGACAGCCATCACCACATCTTGAAGTAGCAAGCTCCTTAATGTGCTGAATGAAGAAGTACTTCCCTTTGTCTAACCTGAATCTCCCATCCTTCAATATCATTGGATTTTCATACAGGCATCAGAATGTCTTTTGACTATCTGATCCGCTGTCTTAGGATTCAAGGAACTCATACCTTTTTCAGGTCCAGAAGAACATAAGAAGAGACTCCTGGATCAGGCCAATGGCTCCATCTAAGTCCAGCATCCTGTTCTCATAGTGGCCAAACACCCCCATACACAAGACCACCCTCCCCTCCTGTAGTTTCCAGGCAACTGGTATTCAGATGCATTACTGCCTCCACCTGCGGAGGCAAAGCATTGCCTTCATGGCTCATGGCCATGGATAGCTTTATATTTCATGAATTTGTCCATCAGCCTGGATAGCTCAGCTGGTTAGACTGTAGTGCTGATAATGCCAAGGTTGCAGGTTTGATCCTCGTATGGGACAGCTGCGTATTCCTGCGTTGCGAAGGGTTGGACTCGATGATTCTCAGGGCCCCTTTCCAACTCTACAGTTCCATGATTCCATGATTCTTCTGCTCTTCTAAAGCCATCCAAGTTGGTGGGCAGCATTTCCTCCTGTGAGAGCAAGTACTTTCTCTTATCTGTCCTGAATCTTCCAACATTGAGCTTCGTTGAATGTCCACGAGTTCTTGAGAAAAGCCTTTCTCTCCTCACTTTCTCCATGGCATGTGTAATTTTATAAACTTCCATAGTATCATCTCTTACTCAGCTTTCCTCTAAGCTAAAATGTCCCAGATGCTCAAACCCTTTATTCGTAGGGTAGTTGATCTATTCCTTTGATCATCTTGGCTCCTTCTCTGAACTGTTTCCAACTCTACAATACAGTGGTACCTCGGGTTAAGAACTTAATTTGCTCTGGAGGTCCGTTCTTAACCTGAAACTGTTCTTAACCTGAGGTACCACTTTAGCTAATGGGGCCTCCCGCTGCTGCCACGCCGCTGGTGTGCGATTTCTGTACTCATCCTGAAGCAAATTTCTTAACCTGAGGTACTATTTCTGGGTTAGCGGAGTCTGTAACCTGAAATGTCTGTAACCTGAAGTGTCTGTAACCCAAGGTACCACTGTAATTGTTTTGGAGGTCAGGAGAGTGGAACTGTACACTGTATTCCAAATGTGGTTGCACCATAGGTTTGTATAACGGCTGCATGATATCGGCAGTCCTAATTTCAATTCCTTCCCTAAGGATCCCTCACATGGAATTTGCCTTTCTTACAGCTGCCACACATTTTCCTCTTTCCTTCTTACCTGGACTTTATCTGGTACAACAGCCACTGGTGCCTTTCATGTTGAAAGGATAATCGGAGGGTTGGGGATGGGGTCCTGTTCAACCCTTTCCTTCCTGACCATTTTTTTGACAACCTTCTCCAGCCCTGAAGGGAAAAAGCAGAGGGGGGAGGGCATGGTTCGAATGCAGATAAATAACTGGGGAAGGACTGAGTGAAATAAAACTTCTTCCATCCCTTCCCTTTTTGCTGGTCTTCTGCTAAATCTGAAGCCACCCACACAACTGCTGTTATTGCTGAAAGAAAACCTTTGGTGGCGATGGCAGCAGGATAGGGAGTGGAATAAGTAAACCATGCATAACATGTAGCTAGGAATGGGTGAATCTGTCAGTTTCAGTTTCTCTTGGTTTCTTGTTCTTTCAGTCTGGGGTTCTGCCCTCCAAATTTCTTCAGTTTGTTTGTTTGTTTTAGGTCATCGTTAGCATCTAAGTGAGAATTTCCCCTCACATTTTTGTACTCAGTTTGGCCTAATATTTACAATTTTGCAAAACCCAGCATAATGCATTTTTGCATGCAATTCTCAGTAATGATATGCACTGATGCACACACTTTTCCCTAGTATTGTACACATCAATTGGCTGGAGGACTGCATTGCGAAATTCAGAAAATTGCGAATTTAGAAGGCTGGGCGTGTTTTGATTTGTGTCTTCTTTCAGAAAGTGAAAATTAGGGGAGTTCTCCTTTTGAGGTGAACAGAACTAAATTTCTACACATGTAGTCTTGCATGTGTAGAGATCAGAGCAGAGACATCACATTGCCAACAAAGGTCCGTATAGTTAAAGCCATGGTTTTCCCAGTAGTGATGTATGGAAGTGAGAGCTGGACCATAAAGAAAGCTGATCGCCGAAGAATGGATGCTTTTAAATTATGGTGCTGGAGGAGACTCTTGAGAGTCCCATGGACTGCAAGAAGATCAAACCTATCCATTCTGAAGGAAATCAGCCCTGAGTGCTCACTGGAAGGACAGATCCTGAAGCTGAGACTCCAATTCTTTGGCCACCTCATGAGAAGAGAAGACTCCCTGGAAAAGACCCTGATGTTGGGAAAGATGGAGGGCACAAGGAGAAGGGGACGACAGAGGACAAGATGGTTGGACAGTGTTCTCGAAGCTACAAGCATGAGTCTGACCAAACTGCAGGAGGCAGTGGAAGACAGGAGTGCCTGGCGTGCTCTGGTCCATGGGGTCATGAAGAGTCGGACACGACTAAACGACTAAACAACAAGTCTTGCCCTCTCTAATGCCAGTTCCCATTCCTGAAAAGTGAGTAGGTCAGAAGATGGAGGCCAAGAGGGCTTTATACAAATTTGGGAGTGGTTATGCACTTCTGTTTCCTGTGCTCTTGCGCTTAACAGCTCCATCCTGTTTTCTTTTATCTCTTCCCCTCTATCTTATCACTCCCTCAATCCGCTTGACTCTCATGCATAATAGTCCATTGCACTGATAAAAGATAAATGCACCAGTCAGTTCATCCCTCTATTATTTCATCACCTAGGGATGGCAATAAGCTCTGTGTTAAATTGTCCTAAAGGCACTTCTGAGAGGGCAGCAAAGTCTGACTGCAGTAAATATAAAATATTTAAGCTTCTTTCCTTCCGTGTAAAGCTCTTCCGAGCACACAGAGCAAAATAACTGAAGGTCGTGATCAGACCCAGGCCTTGCAGAAAATAGAAGTGCGTCAAAAGAGGCTACCCAGTTTTGCTTTTTAAAGCTCAAGGCAATTCATTGCAGATAGCTTTAAAATGATATGCAACCTGTTATCTGAGAACACAGAAGAAGGTCATCTTAATTTCAACTCTCTCAGAGCTAGTGTCATCACCTGACATCTGGGGGCAGCTTCCAGGGCCATGGGACACTGGCAGGGCCTAGCTCTGACGTCCGCCCTGAGTTCGTTGAGTGCTGGGCCCCATTTTAATTACCCACCATCAACAAGACTGATCTGATGCATGAGGGCAATGTGGGCAATTGAAATTATGGGCAACGTGTTGCCACTCAGTGCAAACTGCAGCAGAGGGTAGCCAAGTAGTGGACCATCTACTTTGCATGCAGAGGGTTCAACCTTCAATCCCAGGTGGCATCTCAAGGTACGTCAAAGAATGGTTCCTGGCTGATATCATGGACAATCACTGTCAGTCAGTGTAGGCAATACAGAGCTACATGGACCAAGTGTAACACATGTTCAATTTATGGACAGTCAAGGTAGCCTAACCCATGTACCATCACAATGTTCTGTTCACAACCTTGTTTAACAGTGTAGACCTCATTGAGAGATGTCTGTGTGTTATTTGGTTCCACTGACAGGGGCGGAGCTTGCTGCTTGATCACCCGGATCACATGCCGTGCACCGGGGCGGGGGCAGGGCAAGCCGCCCAGGGGGGCAGTCGGTGCGGTGGTCGGCACCCATTGGGGGCAATTGGTGTAGTGATTGGTGCCCATTGGTGGCGATTGGCATGGTAATTGGTGTCCAGGGGAGTGATTGGAGCGGTGATTGGTGCCCAGGGGGGCGGCGAGGCAATTCACCGGGGGGGGGGTTGTCACACCCACCCTCAGGGATGACATCCATTGCGGACCGCTGCCCCCTTCCTATGCCCCTGTCCACCGAGTCCTATACTTATGCTGAATATGAAGTCTTTCTAATTGATACATCTCATTGATATAAAAAGCATAAAACCCAATTTGACCTTGTATCCAAAGATACTGTATCCAAAGTTCTTAGAGTATTCTCTCTCTCTCTCTCTCTCTCTCTCTCTCTCTCTCTCTCATATCTGTCTATCAA